GGATGGGCTTTGCAGGGGCAGTTCCTACTTACCTCTGAGTCATTATTCCAGACCTGTTGCTTCACTTCTGTTGGCATGCTGGGAACTGTCCAAGATGTGGCTTTGAGGTATGAGAAGCGGACATTTTCACTTTGGAGCATGCCCATCCCTGGAATGTGATCTTTCCACTTGGCCAGTTTAGAACATTTTAATGTCATCTTCCCATGAACTTTAGGTTGGTTTACAGTACAAATGGTTTCTTAAAAAAAAAAAAGTCATAAGCAACTACTATAGTAGTATAATATATAAGCTGATGGTTGTATATATCTAAGCTGTGAACATTTTAGAAGTATATTTTAAAAGGGGAAGGACCATTGGTGGTCGAGCTCCAGTTGGAAAGATTTCACAAGGCTGCTGCTTGAAACCATGAACAACAGCTGTGGGTTGGTGAGCTTGGGGGGGTCAGTCTCCCTAGTGGATGAATGCATGGTGTCCTAGGTGAATGTTGGTATGCTATTTATACGAGGAAGGTTAGAGCACATACTTTGATTCTGTAGGAGGAAAGCCATAATAATCTGTGATACCCAAAAGCAGGAGGAGTCTGGTAGCACCTTTTCAGACTAACACATTTTATTAAAAAGCATAAAAACATCATGAAAACATTTGCCTTTTAATAACACTTGTTAGTCTGAAAAGGTGCTGCCAAACTCCTCCAGAGTTTTGGAAATGTTGATTCCGAGATTTTCCTGCGTGCAAACTAAGCCATCTCCAACTTCTCCAGACCTGGCATATTTTGACGTGAGCAAACTGTTAACGTTTCTAGGCTTGCCCTTGATGGAAAACTGGCTCTCTGAAGACTCAACTGTCAAGTTATTATAACTTTGTATAAATTGCCCCAGGCCATCGGCAAGGCAGTCACTGATAGGAAATCTGTCTGAAACACTGCCAGTAAGTGTGGAAAACTCTAAGCCAGATGGATCAAGAGTGACTTGTAAATTATTTTGTTAAAATGCCTTGGGGAATAAAAATTATTCTACTTGGCACCAGAAAATTAGTTGATTCATCTCTCGATGAGGATATTCTGTAATCAGGATATCATAGTGGAAAATCCTTAAAAAAAAAACAAAACCTTAGTTTGTCATATACCTTCCCAGGGGGATTAGCATGTTGTGGGTGGGGGGGGAGGGAGTCAAAGAAGGCACATGTACCTACAGCTCTTCTATTGCAGCCTTCACTGTGAAACCCAGAGACCATTTCTTTCACATCAGGTAAGAACAGCTGCTCTTCTGAAGTTTCTTTACCAGACTGTCAGCTTCCTGTTTTTGAAACACTGATCTGTACTTGCAACTCAGCTCGTAACCAACATTAGTACAGTGGCTTAATCTGCAAGATAATTTGATAGGAAGAGAGCTGACTTGCATCTCTGCCCCCTCCTTCTGCTGGGACTGCCGGGCACCTCCTTTACCTAGCGGCCTCATCCTCTCAGCACAGATGCCGTTTCAAAGCCAAACCTCTGAACTGGCGTGATTGCAGGGTGCTAGTTTTGTACCAGCTGATCCCATTGAAGAAAAGTGGTTGGTGGTAATGTGGGTTCAGTGGTCGTCTTCATCCCTGCTTGCCATCTCTGTGTCTGCAGATCTTGGAGGGCGGCAAGGTGCTTTGTGGCTGTAATGGAGCAGCCATAATTCTCCCCATGTCAGGTGCACAGTGCTTAATGCTGGCTCAGTTATTTTGGCTTTTGAGAATGAACATTGCAGAAGTCCCTCTGTAAGGGACTAAATAATAGTAATACATCAAGTGCTATAAAACATTTAAACAATTTTATGAGAGCTAAAATCAGCTCCTTCAAGTGCTACCTCATTCTGCCTAATGGTAGGGCTGGTCCTGTGCATGAATCGCCCTAGCCAAGACTGATTTGAGATTAAATCTTACTTGTAAACTGGAAATGCTTGCATTAGGGCTAAAATGTGGGTAGTGCCTGTGTGCTGTTGGTCCAGGAATTGATGAAGTTTATACTCCCTAAATTATTTTAAGTATGTTTTGGGTCATCACAGTTTTCTTCCAAGGAGTTCATATATGGAGTTAGCCTATTAAATCATCCCATCGCTCCTATAAGATACATTAGGTCATTCTTCCCCAAGATGTTCCCCTCCAGATGTGTTGGGATTATAACACCCAGAATTCCAAGCCAGCTCTTGAAAGCTGCTATCTCAACACATCTGGAGGGCACCAGATTGAAGATGAATAGCTTCAGCTAGGAGACCATGACTGATCCAAGATCATCTGTGATAGATGTATAGATAAACAGAAGATTATAACTTGTGTTTCTTCAAGACAGCACTCCGCCTACTTCTTAGTTACGTCTACCTTAAGAGAATCTCCCCATTCATACAGCAACTGAAGAATTCCTGCAGGGAATGATAAACACTTATAAAGTATAAAAGTATAAAAAAAAATTTTCCAGAGTGAACATACAGCACTCAGACACTGTGTTCCCCAGGCCCAATATTGTTTCTTGCAGATCTGTTCAGCTTTTTTGGATTCAGGGCTTTTGAGTGGTGTGCTGAAGTCTCACTCCAAAAAGGGTGAGGGCAAGACCGCAAAATGGAGGGGAGCCCAAAATCCCTCAGTTGGATTTTATGCATGTTTAGTTTGTTAAGATTATATAACTTCATCACGTACAGTTAACACTATCACTCTTCGTGTTTTGCCTAATTATCATCCAGTCACAACTTTTCCAAGACCTCCATAAGGGAAGTTAAAGTTTTAGAGGGCTATATATGGGTCTGAAACTTCACAGTCTAAATGATTGATTTACTGGTTGATTAGCAGCAGCTACATAGGAACTGAGCGAGAGAAAGTTCATCTTTATTGTTGGCTTGATGGTGCCTCTTAGTGGAGATGCCAGGGCCATCTCCATTTAAAATGGGTGTGGCACCATGTAGAACTGAGCGCACTCCAGATGTTACTGCACTACAGCTCCCAGCATTCATCACAGTCATCTGTGCTTCCCATGGATTTTTTTTTTTTTGGTGCCTTTGAGTCAGTTTTAGACTCCTGGCGACTGCCTGGACAAGTCCCTGCAGCTTTCTTGACAAGGTTTTTCAGAAGTGGTTAGCCCTTGCCTCCTCCTTCTGAGGGCTGAGAGAGGGGGACTGGCCCAAGGTCACCCAGCTGGCTTCGTGCCAGGTGGGACTAGAACTCATGCTCCCGGTTTCTAGCCTGGTGCCTTAACTACTACATCAAACTGAATGGCTTCCTAGGGATGCTGGGTGTAATATTTCAGCAACATCTGGAGTGACATTTATTTCATGCTCCTGTACATATGTATTTCTAGTGGCTTAATGTTGTAGGTGATCAGTAACAGTGGACAAGATGTCTCTTTCAAGGAAAATTGTCTTCTCATATTTCTGGTGAGAAACCTTGGTGTGCTTTGGAAAAACTGCAGCTTTCCTAAGAACGTGGTTCCTAAAACCTTAGCATTATACCAGCCAGGCGTATGGGGGGTTCTCAAGATTTAATTTAATCTTAAGTTGCCTAATGTCTTCTCTGTTACCCTTCTGTCCCTAAATATAAGGAACCTCTAGTTTACTTGTAAAGCTGTATTTCTCTTCTTCTCCTCTGTTGGTCCCAAAGTGTGGGATGCCTTCCTTGTGTAGCTATATTTAGCCCCAATTCTTTTGGTTTTGAGGAAAGGGGTTAAGACCTTCCTTTTCAGCCAGGGCTTTTTGAGTTTCAGTAACAATAAATTTAGTTGTTTGTCCAGGTGGTGATTATTTTATTTTAGGTGGCTGACCTTGGGAGCCTTATGGGTAGGAAGGACAGAGCAAAAATCACATCAACCAAGTAACAAGATGACTTGCCCAGAAATGTAAAACCAGATAGTACACTGCAATTAATTAACTAGAATTACACTGGCCTATAATTTATTGCTTTCCACAATTTTGAGACCTTTTTGAGATCAGGCTCATCATAGAATGATTGAGTTCCCATTTCATGTTAGGCCATGCTTTGTACTGAACTGGTTTATTTCAGTGTTTCTCAACCTTGACAACTTGAAGATGTGTGGACTTCAACTCCCAGAATTCCCAGCCAGCATGTGTGGACTTCAACTTCCAGGCTGGCTGGGGAATTCTGGGAGCTGAAGTCCATACATCTTCAAGTTGCCAAGGTTGAGAAACACTGGCTTATTGAATAAATCTTAGTGCCTGGCTTTGTGTAGTGCTCTAATCTATAAACTACAGGTAGTCCTCGCTTAAGTACCACAACAGGGACCAGGAAATTGGTTGTTAAGCAAGGCAGTTGTTAAGCAAATCGGACCCGATTTTACAACCTTTTCTGTGGTGGTGGTTAAGCAAATCACACAGTTCCCATTGATTTTACTTGCTGGAAGCTGGCTGGGAAGGTTGCAAATGGCGATCACGCGACCCTGCGACGCTGCAACTATCGTAAATACATTCCGATTGCCAAGTGCCTGAATTTAGATCATGTGACTGCAGGGAATGCTGTGATGGTCATAAGTGCGAGGACTGGTTGTAAGTTGCTTGTTTAGCACTGTTGTAACTTCAAAATGTCACTAAACGAATGGTTGTTAAACAAGGACTACCTGTATGGTAGTTAGATTCAGACAAAGCCTTGAAGCCAAAGTCTAACAAATTATGTTCTATTGTGAAAAGTCATCTTTCATAAAATGTATGCGTATTTGAAAGCTTAGCATGAAATACAGGCCCAGCAATAATTAAAAAAAAAAACAATGCCAGTGTAGTGTAACATTCAGCATGTTTAACTAGGAATGGAGAGACTCAGGTTCAAGTCCATCTTTAGCCATAGAAGTTCAATGGGTGACATTCGACCACTCAGTATTTCTCAATCCAACTTATCTCGCAGGTCATTGGAGGGAAAAATAGGAAGGAAACTATGTATGCAGCCTTAAGCTCCTGGAAGGAAAAAGTCAAAGATGAATGAACAATAGCAAACAAAGACGATGATCACTGAGAGAAGTGAAGCCATAGAAAGAGGAGGCATGAGAAACATCTGTTAAATATATAGCTATAGATATATAAACACTCCAAACCTTACAGCATTTCCCCTTGCCCCCAAGCCACAAATGATCAGTCTCCATTGCTATAGGACATTGAACATCAGCAACAGAGTTAGGGTGGCGTTCGGAGCTCCTGCCTGGAGAACAAAGCAGGCTGATGAGAACTGCCTGCTAGAACCAGGAAGAGAGAAAGTCAATGTCTTGTGGTTGCCCGCACTGCATCTTTAGCATTAGCTGCTTCAAGCTTTGCTCTACAGGAAACAGCAGGAAAAGTATATTTGGTTAGTATCCCCTAAATAGGGTGTGCTAGGATTTCATCCTCCACTCCCCAAAATCATGTTTTGTTTTGTCTTTTTAGTTACCTATCTGATTCATCAGCCAGGCTGCGTGCTGGAAAGTCTTGTTGTGGTTTATCAGTGGGGAAATTACAATTTCCTCTCTGCTGAAAGTTTTGAATGCTATCCAAATGACCTACAGAGAGCTTCGCCTGGGAGTGCTCTGTTTTGATGTCCAGGCTCTGGAGAAGGTAGCAGGCGAGCAATGGGAGAAGAGCTCCCTGGCAGTTGTGGAGAGAATGATGAGGCTGCTGTTTCGCACCAAGGCAAGTGCGACTGTCTTTTGCAGTTGGCTTGGCTCGGCTTGGCTTGGCTTGGCGGGAGTGATGACAAGAAGCTTTGCCTATCTTAGCTAGTCAATGTGCAACCACCAGGAATGGGAGTGTAAAGAGGAACCAGTGAAAGGAGATCATTCTCTAGTCAGGATTATTACACATTTTGTAGAGTGGCTGGGGAGGAGTGTCATGGGGAGTGTGGAACCTGCTCTGAGATGATCCTGGACCATAATCTTGATGTAAATGTGTTTTTAAGTAAAGAAGTCACAAGGCTGCACCATGCTTCTTTACATGGATGTTGTCCCTTTAGATCTGTTTTGCACCGCTACGGCTGTCTAGCAAGCGTGGCGGGGAGGACTCTCTTTTGTTGCTTACTACCTGACGAGGATGCCCGGGGCTGAAACTAGTGGTTTCCTATGTGTTCCCTCCCTTGGTTCTGGTTGTTCTTTCACTTAGTTTTTGTAAGAGGAATTTGTAGGGGATGGATTTCTTTATCAGAATTGTACTTCCTTCCTGAAGAAAAGCAAGGATTTTCCCCAATTCATTAAACTGTAAAATAGGGAGGAGTTATCTTAGATTAACTAGGAAAACAGATAGGCAGATTTTATTTTTCTGTCTAACTTTTCTTTCGAGAAGGAAAATAATCTTAAATCCTGGTTCATCCTCTTTTCAGATGAATATATTTTTATTCATGCTTTCTCTTCTACTTGTCTCTGATCTTATCTTACCCATCTTCCATCCATGGGTGTATCTATACTCTTTTCTCAGGGTAATATTCTCAAGCACTACAAGGACTACAGTGGTCTTTAAGATGCCACAAAATTCACGGTTGCTTTTGTTGCAGTAGACTCACATGACTGTTTGTACGTTAGTGTGTTCATTCAAATGTTTTTAGATGTCTCGGGGATATCATTTGGAAACTAGCAGAGCAGGAGATAGCACAACAAGAGCAGATAATTTTGTGAGGGAGGGGGAGAGAGAGAGAAAATGTGTGAAACCCAGAGTATTTCAGATGAAGTTCAGGAACTCTTACTTCTTCAATGCTTCACAAGAAATCAAACCTCTATACTGTTTTGAAAGGCAGATTTCCTAAATAAGAAGACAAATATCTACTGCAATGTTCTTGTAATTACTAAGTGGAAGTAATGCCATTGCATGCACCTTGAGTTCCAAGGGTGGAATTAATGTAGTGGCTAAGAACAAATGTTTTGCTGCATTTATCCTTTTTTTAAATCTCTACTGGATTCCTATAATTTTATTCACTTCTTATCTAATTATGCAGAAGCTGAAATTAGGATTTGAGCCAGACATATTCAGGATCCACAACCCCAAGTATGTGGTGGTGTGGTTAAGGTTGGACTGGCACTGGGAAGTCCCATGTTTTGGTCCACCATGAGGTACAGAAACTCACTGGGTGCCTTTAAACCAGTCACTCTCTCAGCCCAGCCTACCCCACAGGCTTGTTCTATGGATAACATTGATTGATTTGCTTGATTTATATCCCATAGATGGAACATGCTTACCTCTATTTCTTGGACAAGGACTGGGAAGAGCCAGGTTCTAGTCCTTCTTTAGCTCCAGGAGCTCACTGGGAAGTTTTGAACCAATCTCTCTCTCCCAGCCCAACCAACCTCCCAGGGCGGTTGTTCTGTGACAGAATGGATAACTATGGACACTGCTGTGAGGTCCTGAGGGAAAGCCAAGATATGAATCTAGCAAGTAAATGATGTTTTGAGTATTTGCAGGAGCAGAGTGCAGTGAGTTGGGAAGGAATCTGACCCTGCTCCTTTTTTGAAGTGTGGTAGGTGCTGGCTTTGAAAGCACTGCACTAGGTCTGCTTTAGAGCTTCACAATGTTCAACTGGCACACAACAAGGAAGCAACCTGCTCCAGGGGGCATCGTGGAGGAGGGGATGGGAGAGGACAAGGGATCCGAGCTGGAGTTGGGATCTGAACAATTCAGCAGCACTTTTCAAAGTTCATGCAGAACATTTTGGGTTGTAGAGCTTTTCAGCAGCTCTCATGTAGAACCCCCATACCCAACGGCATATAGCATTTTGTTTCATGACCTCCCATAAAACTACCCAGGTAGTTTGAGAAGTTAGCACCAGGTCCTTTCAGCATTTACTTATATAAATGGCCTTCAAAGTCATATCTTCAGTTCGTTCTATGATGTTGCACAGCTTACCCATCCCTCATCGTTTTTGAATTAACACAGCCTTCTGCATGCATGCAGACACCCATATCCATTGTGGCACACACGTAAGGCCCTTAGAAGACCACTGTGGAGAGAACGTGGGGCACATGTCAGAAACAAATGCCTACTTGCATTGGCATGGCATGCCATGGCGGATAATAAAGAAGAGGTTAATATCACTGAAATGATGATAGTAATAGTTTCAGCTTCTCTTCTTCCAAAGAGCTTCTGCCCCTGCCCAACAACAGCCTTCCAAGGTAGGCTATGTTCAGAGCCAAATACTCGTTTAAATCCTAGTCTCCCTGGTCCAAGCCAGATGAGCAGAGTCCTTTAACTATACTTATTTGAGATGCGTTAAGCATGGGTGCTTCTGCTTCTTCCTAGAAGGAAGCTCTGCTAAAACGTGGGTGTTGAGTTCCTGTAACCAGACGGTTGTTTCCAAGCACAAAATGTCATCTCAGGAGCTCCAGTTGGCCAGCTGAACTTCTTTCTTCTTTCCACCCCTGCTTGCTTTCCGCAATGCATTGCTGCAATTTTTCTTTTTTAGTTCAGCAAAGGAGGAAGTTGCTACTCTTTCTTAACGTGTCTGTTTCTGAGGTTTAGCAAGTATTTCTCAGTTAAACTGCCTGTCGTTCATCCACTCCCCTTGAAGAAATAACCCCAAAATAGTTGGGACAAAAACTCTTAGCAGCCCACCTAGCATGGCCTCATCTGAAATGCAAAGGAAACTTTGGTTTCTAAAACTACACAAAAGGCCTAAAAGCAAGAAAATAGCAGGGGAAAAAAATGCGGGTTTGTTGTTCTCGTCGTTCCGTTATTCTGCAGGAAAGAGGATTTGTGGGCAGTATCTCTTGAATGCACCCATTTGAGAGCAGATTTGTAACTTGACAGGAAGCACACTCAGTGCTTTTTAACAAACTGTAGTGCCTCTGTCTTTTCCTGGGGGTGGGTGGGGGCATTCAGATAATTGTTGTTGCCTTCTGCAGTCTTATTTCTTGCCAAAATATTTGAGCGTCTGTGCAGGTGCTCGTATAGAGGAGAGCAGGCAGAGTTTGGAATTCTTCCATGCTTGAAACTTTGAGATTGGTGAAGCCTGGATTTAGGCTCGCTATGCCCTTCCGCTACGGCTTATCTCAACAGATATCTGAGCAGGCTTTAATACTTGTGGTCCTTCTCTGTCCTTCCTATGCCCCAGAATTCACGAGTGTACACAAAAATGTGCTGTGGGTTCCATTAACTGTTAAAACGGTGCCGTTCATTTTCCTTTAAGCTCTTTACTTGTAATGGGAAACTTAAGACCAAATAAACAGAAGAGTCTCTCTTTTTCTATCTTGGACTTGTGATTTAATTCCATTCCCGGTCCAATGAAGTCAGGTGACATGTATGACACTGTGGCTAATGCAGGGTGACTAGATGTCCAAGACTCAAAATCAGGATACACTAATTTGTATAAATTCACATACTTATTAATGTTCATTCATAATTCAGTTTCCTGAGAGTCCTAGGCAAATATCCCTGCCAAGTACTGTTTTTTTGTTTTTTTGGTAGAATTAAATTTTCAAATAGCTTTGGGTTGTTTCTTTTAAAGAGCACATTGTAGAATTCAGCACAGTTGTGAGTACAGTTGACTCTCAAGATAAGCAATGATTATAGAGTTGCTTATTCCATTTCGTTCTTCTCACTTGTCCAGAGAATATTCATAATAGAAAAAAAAACTTTGTGAATTTGTGTGAACAGGTACACAACAACCTGTACTAGAGGTTAAAGGTCTTCAATGTAATGTCCACATTTCCAAAATGGGCGAATGCTTCTAGCTGTTGCTCCTCTCTAGCTTTTTTCCTCTGTTCAGTTCTGCTATTTTGCCTGCACAATATTTATTCACTTTGTGAGTTGATCAAGGAACACCCGTTTCATTGATTTTGCAATTCTGCATTAAAAAATTGTAGTGAATGGGTATGACAGAGAATCTTACCTAGTGGGGTCCATGAGAATGTATACAATTCATTGTAAGATGTCCCTTGTTCCTCTATATGAGTTGAACAACTGTCATAGAAAGAGTGCAAATGTTCCTTGCTTTTTTAAGAAGACCTTTGACCTGAGCCTCATGAAACCTACCATCTTTTCCTTTGACAGACTTTTCTTTCAGGTTTCTCAGTTTCATGACAACATCTATCACATAGATATGTTGTTTTTCTATAGCTTTTATTTTATTCTTGAACAGAGAGAAGGGATTGTGCAGAATGTAGAGCCACATTTCACCAAAAAAGTCATAAAAGAACTTGTGAATTGTTGTTGGGACCCATTGTGAGGAGAAGTCAGATTTGAGAGAGAGAAAAATTTTTAGCACCCTGTTGATCAGAGAAACCCTGTCTACTTGCTTATGTTGGGAACCAGCTGATAGTCCAAATCTCAAAATTCTTTCAACTGTGTGGTTTTGATGGTATAAATATGGAAATATTTGTAAAACTTGATAACAAATGACCTAGTTTATACATTGTAGACAACATGAGCTGCA